ACCGAATGCTTGCATGGAAGAAAGGCAAACAAATTGTTTGATGAAAAGAAGGTTACCTGAGGTTACTACGACGGGGCACACTCTCTTCGGCCTGTTGAGAATCCAGTCTATTTTTAGTGCACTTTCTGGCCAGCTTTTTCAGAAAGAAATCCTTGCAAAACCTGCTGCCTCAGCACTCTGTCCTGCAATGTAAAAAATTCTGCAAATGTGCATTCTGAAAAGATACCCTTCGTGACCATCAAGTTATTACATCTTTCTTTATAAATGACTTATCTGGACAGCAATTTCCTGCCATAAAAGCCAAATAACCAGAATCGTCTTATTTTAACAGAGCATACAAGAGGGCAGTAGGAGGTGGTCTTCACTGACCACCTGCTCCATTTACACCTGCCCAGAGGCTCTCTCATCTTGCAAGAAGTGTTGAGGTCACTCACAGCCCTCCTGTTGCTTCCCAGACAGACWGAAGATTAGAAAGGCCACAGGTGATCATAAAAGGCTGCAGTTGAGAGGGGTGAAGGGAATTGTCTCATGACCCGTGTGGGGAAGAGGTCATTTTTGCAGCAGACAGCATTTCCAAAAGCTCCAGAGATAGCTAAGGGCAAAGCACAAATGAACTTGCGGTTCGCTCTGCTTGTGACTCACAAATAGCTGGAARCAAAAGGAGGAAGCTGCACACACAGAAAGCAAAATGCAAACACCACTTTGGGATATATTTCTCACATAAGTATTTCCATGAAAAAGACAGTGGAAGATGACATGCAATCTGCTGCGTGGCAGCTGTTCCTCACCAGCCTCCCTTCTCAATGGTCTCACATCACAAACACATGAGTAATTACTGCAAGTAAAACACAGCATAAACTTGCAGCCCATCTCCTTCTCAGCTTCCTGGAAAAGCAGCCTTTGGGAACACGCCTTTATCCCAAGGCTCCTACAGGCTTTGTCACACATAGCCTGCAGCACATGGCAATGGTAATGGGGGGCAAGAAATGCCGCTGTGCTGGACAGAGCATGCTGCAGTGGACACCGAGGGACCTGCCCGGCTTGGTGCAGGGGAAGGCACCTTTGCTGAGCTGCTACAAAGCCCAGCGTGGCTGGTGGGGAGCCATGAACACACTGGGAGCTCTTTGTCAGGAGCTGCAGCCACCTCCTGTGCCAGGAAAAATCTCCTGCCGCAGAGGTAGCTCAGGCTGGACAGTTGCTTCTTTGTTCAAGTTCTTGCCTCTAGCGCAGAGGTGAGATGGCTCAATAAAATGTTCACTATGTACTCTATGTGTGTGGGAAGCAATTGGAGCCCATCAAGCTGGAGACATTGTGACAGGTCGTCCAGGTAAAATAGTTCTGCTTCCCCTTCTTGTTTGCCAGAAAAAAGCTCAAGCTCTTGCCAGCTCTCTCCAAATTCCCCATGAGTTTTGCTGAAAGGCTTAATTGTGACAGGACCTGCAGGGCTGGCAGGTGCAGGGCCTTCCCTGGGCACCACAGTGGTGGAGGAGGAAGGGAACAAGCTGAGATGGAGCTTGGTTCATCAGGATCCAAGGAGCACACCCRGCCCTGGCCATGCACCCACGCGTGCTCTCACAGCGACCAGCAGCCTTGTCCCACCACCAGGCTCGCACACACGGCAGGACCACATGCAACACCAGCAGAAACAGGGCTGGACGTAATATAGAATGTTCTGAGCAGCGTTAACTTGAGTTACAATCATTTTAAGTCACTTAAAGAAATTATGAAATGGTAGCAGTTCTTGAAGACTGCAGCCAAAGTTCCTGGAGCTTGAGTTAACTATTGGCAACCTGTATTCAACCATGCTGGGGAAGGAGAATCATCAAAGTGCTGCAAACAAGCAGAAGAGATATGCAAAGACGATGAAGTAACTTTTCTTTTGGTCTTTCATTTTTAAGAAAAGGGAAGGAAAGAAAGAAGGAAGGAACATGGAAATAACGCTTGTCACATACCATATATGTCTATGATCTTCAAAGTAAATAAAATGACAAGATTCTGTGTTCTACTTCGAGCCATTGAGTGGCTGGCACTCCCTGATGTAATTTCAGTTACTGTTTTGGTGAAATTAATTCACCTTAGGCATCTTTAGGWGCTGCACAGAAGCTGAGGGATGGGCAGTGATAAACCAGAGATGCAATTTCCAGATGATTATATCCCCCAATTGAAAAAAGACCTGGTAGCTAAGGAAAAGAAGGATAATTCACTTTGGGAACGTCTGAGACAAGAGAGGCCAGTCTAAGAAAGAGCTTTATGTATAAAGAGCTGGTTTTAAAAGTGGAACTTAAATCCAGTCCAAGGGCCCTGGAAAGCAATAGAAGGTCTTCTGTTGACTTCAAYGGCTTTTGGATCTGCTCTGAAAATGGAGGAGAAAGGCCTGAGCTGGCAAGCAGCAGACAGCTTGTGGGGAGACTGGAATGTAGCTGAGAACAGAGAGGAAGCAAACAGCAGAGCGGGGCTGGATCCCAGAGGCAAAAGCCACATGGGCTTGTTTGTACGTCAGAGAAAAAGAACCCGCAAGCCAGTCTGGGCTGAGGCTCAGGGAGAAGAAACTGGAGGAAGGTGGAAGGGAGGTCATGGTTTGAGCTGAAGCAATAGACTCACAGTGGGTCTGGTGGGAGCCAGTGAAACGCTGCATCCTYTCCCTGAAAGGGCTCCCAGGAGGAGCAGGACGTGGACACTCTTCTCTTCCCTTCAGGCAGGACTGCTCAACTATTTGTTGAAACTTTCCCAGGCTTGGATAAGGGAAGGGCAGAAGGGAACAACTGGAGATACATGGAGGAACAGAACATACCACACCTGCTTATCTCTGTCTGCACTAATTATATGGGTCTTCCTCGCTGCTGTGGCTCAACAAATACCAGTCCTTCATGTACCTATTCATGTTACCCTCAGTGAACAAAGGTGGAAGCATAAAGAGATTTAGAGTCAATTTTTCAGCAGTATCTATGCAAAAAAAAAAAAAAAAGTCACCTTTTCCCTTTGCTCTTATAAAGAAAGCACACAGGAATACCATTATTCCTGTGATGGGGATACCTGGCGGAACAGACATATTCAACTCTATGCAGGCAGGAATGGAAGTCACTCACGTAGCCATTGCCAAGTTGCTAAGAGGCTTCACGAGGTCGGAGGCAGCTCTCCGGTCGGCCGAGCAGATCTCTCCTGATGGATACGTCTCACACCACCTATGGAAGCAGCAGCTACAATTAGCCCATCAAGGAGTCACTGAAGCAAGGGCATAACCATCTAGTGCTTCTCAATTCACAAGCAGAGGTCACATCCAAATCCCTTTTGACTCCACCAAAGGCCTTCACCGCATCACGCTCCCTTCCTAATACCGGTATTTTGCCAGGACATGGTGCCCATCCATAAACATCACTGTTATTTCCACGCTGCTCAAAAGCACAGCTTAAGACCACGAGCTTAGGAGATCACCAGCCTCAGCTCAGGGCTTTCAAGCAGGTGACAAAGAGAAGGAGCCGAGATAAATGCTGGGACAGCAGCCGCTCATTTTTAAAAACGGTTTTTCCAAGTTCCTTATTTCTTTGTGCAGGGCAAGGAAGAGGTGCAAGAGTGCGCTGTGCCCCGAGGAGAGCCCTGTCCTGCAAGGACCCCGTGCCTGCTGCGGGCAGGGAGGTCCCAGCACAGTCTCCAAGGATGCCCTYAGGAGGAGCCCAGCGCTGCTGGGATCCAGGCTTCCTATCCAGCAGCAAGGCAAAGGAAAACAGGAGGAACGCTGACCTGGATTCTAGCAATGCTGCTGCAGGTCACCAGAAGTGCTGGGCTCCAGCCCATCCGCAGAGCAGGCCTGAAGCTTTGCACAAGCCCTGGGGCAAACAGGGGCCCTTTTCCTCTCTCGGACCCTTTTCCTGCCATGAACTTGGGCTCCGAGGACCCGCAAAGCGCTTCGGGAGCCCAACCACAGCAGTGCTAGGCTGGAAGAACCCAGTGCTCGTGCTAGCACATCCCAGCGCCCGCTCGGAGGCCAGGGYGCGCGTTTGGGCTTCGCTCACGCTGTGAACGAGCCTGACACCTCCACACACCCTCTAAAAATGCCCTGCTCCTCCCAAGGCCTCCAAAGCACCAGGGGAAATCAACCCCAGGGCTCCAAGGCCAAGGAAAGAAGCGGGCAGCAGGGCGAGCAGAGCGCAGGCCCTCGCACAGCACCCACGGATGGAGACGGCTTGGATGCTGCTGTGCAACGCTGGATACTGCTGTGCAACGTCGGATGCTGCTGTGCAATGCTGGATGCTGCTGTGCTACGTTGGATGCTGCTGTGCAATGTGTAGAGCCAGTATGAACGATGCTCACAGCCCGCACACAGAGCGGCCGGTGCGACCCAGCGCAGCCCCGGGCTCCCCGTGCCAGCTGCACGGGGCATGAGGACAGCGGGGCCTCTCGAGCAGCCCCGCAAGGACAGGGYGCTCGCTGCCACCAGGGAGGTAACGCCACGAGCTTCCATCTAGACACGTAGACTTCTGCTTAACTCATATTTGATTACTCACTCGTCCACATCCCCTTTTYGCTAGATGTCTGTCACATGAGCCTAGGCAAACATTACTAATACAGACGGAGGGAGCAGAAAGGGCATCAATACCGAGGGGTGATTCACGGGCTCGGCGGTGCTCGCACCTTTCCAAGCGCCCTGCTCGGCGGCGGGAGCCGAGGCCGCCGCCGTGGGTGCCCGGCCTCGGGGAAGGCTCCCGGCCTCGCGGCGCCTGCCGGCCTCCAGCACCAGCCTCCTACTCGGCACGTCCCGCGGCGACGGCGGCACCACGGGAAGGGCGGCACACGCCCGCGGCCAGCCGCGGCACCGGCAGCGCTAGGACAACGCCGACCTCCTGATTCTTCTCCGCTGAGCAGCTCCGGAGAGCTTACCCCAAAGGAATAATCAATATATCACCATTGGAGTGACATTAGCTCACCGGCAGGAACTTCCGCTTGCTGTAACACTTTGTGATTTGAAAATTGTGCAACACCTTCAGTAAACACTTCCTCATCTGGGAAGCAGAATAAAGCTGAACAACTCACTCGCTCCCCTTGGCTGCACAGCAGAGCAGAGCTCGGGCGCAGCCCAGCCGCGCACACGGGCGCCGCGGCGATGCCCAACACGCTGCTCGTTTCGGTCGTCTGGCTGTGCTTTCTGCGGCCAGGTAAGCCTTGCCTTTTCTTCTCCTCTTCTCTAATGGCTCTTGGGAGCTTGCTTTCTAGAGCTTTTATGAATTTGTAATTATTAACCTGCAGATAACACCGGAGAACAGCAAATAAAAGTAACTGGAGACTTGCGGACGTTAAGGAGTTTCTTTTCTTTTCTTTTGCCATTCAAAGCAATTATTTTCAGTTCTCTAGTTGGAGAAATGTTTACCTGCATGAAAAGCGGCTACAGATTGGCTAAAGATTGAGCACAAGCTGGTTTTGCGAGCCAGTTAAGACAGTGCTTCCTCTGCAAGCGAGCAGAAAACTCATCCAATTGGGACAACTGACTGCAGCGACGCTTTGGCAATTTAAGGACAGACTTACAGTTGAATTCTGCTAATTACACTACCTAAACTAGTTAGCACCGTATTTTCTCAGGTTGTGAGCAGAGAGGTTCCTATGACCTACCCTTAGTGAAGGGCACGTTTTCTTTCCACGTGCATTCCTTCTTTCACTTGGTATCAATAGGGAAGAGATCTTTGCAGAAGGTGGAACGCAGAGGCATGCACGGGTTTTGTATGCACAGTTACACACGCGGGTTGTAATTGAAGGGGCATTTCTGCGATTTCACTAGCTGCACGGAATGCCTGGGTACATACACATTCCTGTTGCTTACGGTGGTATATGTAAACAAAACCTCCTCATCAATGAAATCCTCACTATAATGGTATTTTTTCCTGGTTTAGGTTGCTTGGAAAATGAGATGATTATTGGTTCCTTCTAAAAGCTGACTCCAGATAATGCCTAGAGCAAGGTGAAGGTAGTATATGGAGTTGATTGAAAAGCTGCCTCCAAGGAAGGATTAGCTCCAGAACAAAACTAACCTGTTTTCCTCGAAACGCTGCTTGTATCGCACTGCAGGAAAAGGTCAAGTTTAGTGCTGAGTCTTGGTTCAAATCCAACCTAAATTTGMAGTATCAGGGCTACAATCTGCCTTCTAAACAGCACTTGTAGGACCTCGTTTTCCCAAATACTACCAGCTGCTGTCCCYATCTTCAACAGCAAGGACTGACGCCTCTGCAAGACGTGCTGAGAAACAAAACTTTGTCCAGAACCACACGGGCTGGCTTTGCATGTTGGTTCAGGAAACCGCAACTGCTGGCAAAGGAAATCCTATGGGAATTGCATAGCGGATTGTGACAGCTGGAAGGAGCCAGGTGTGTCACCTTGGGTGCACATTGGAGGTGACTGCCTGGCACACCAGATGAGCACTTCCTAGAGACAGTGCAGGGAATACAGGAGAAAGGAGGGGTGCAATAGATCAATTAACACACGGGACTTAATTCTTAAATGCAAATATGCAAAATATGCTATTTTAAGAAGTTAATATTGTATTTGCATAAATGTACATTTGTTTCTCTGTAGGGAACACCAACAAGAAATTACCTGGAGTTGAGCAATACGAAGTAGTTTATCCACAGAAATTGCACACAATACATAAAAGAGATGCAGGAAGAAACAATGCAAAGGTATTAAGAGAGATAATTCTTGTCTTCGGGAGTGTGGAGGGAGATGGATAAGTTTCTGCAGAGCCTGAACAGTTTTGGCTGTCAAGGGAAAGGGCTTTGGAGCCAAACAGAAGATGCATCAACTCCAGGCCTGGTCAAAACAGGTGCTGGAAAGGCAGGGAAGCACCCACAGGTGATCAGAGGATCTTCTGTGCTTCTACCTCTGCATGGATGTATTTTTTGATACTCCTCAGATTTTGAGTAAAGTCTGGATATTTTAATCCATGAATAGTAATCTATGGATATTTTAATTTGAAGCAAGTTAAACCAACCACTTGAAACTAAGCAAGCTTTTACATACTTCAAGGTAGAACTATTAAACTTTTTGAAGTTAAGTGCCCACTTGGGCACTTTCCCGCATATGCCGGGCGTGTTTATGATTGCAGGAATGCATTTGCAAGGCTCAGTTATTCCTCTCTGCAACAGCTGTGCAACAAAGTGAGCTCCTGCTTTTTCTAGAAGTGCCAAACTGCTTGGTGGGAAGAGGAGGGAAAGAAAGTGGCTGGCAGCTCCGCAACAGCCAGCTCCTAGCAGGGCCAGGAGCTCTCGCAGCCCATATTCTAACACTTAAATTTGTTTACAGACAAAATACGACGACACAATGGTGTATGGAATCAAAGCCAGCGGAGAGGAAGTCATACTTCACCTGCAAAAAAATAAGTAAGTTCAGTTGCATTTTGTGAACTCTCTTCCCTCGCTGCAAGTGGCTCTTCGGGTACAAAAAGGCAGGACTTGGGCTCCTAAGAGAGCTGTGTAAATGTAACCTCCAACTGCCCGGGCAGGGGAGGACAGGGCGGGATGGGACGGGAAGCATCGTGTCACTGCTTGCACTAGCTTGACATAATACTCAGCCATATGACACTGTTGGGAAGGAATGATCAGCCAGCCCTGGGAACTCTGTTCTCCCATGTATTTCCTAACTGCCTAAAGCCACTGGATGCTTAATGTTTGCATACTATTTTACAAGCTTTCAACATCCACGTATTGTTTGTGGGTCATATTTGGTCGTTCTCTTAGTAGAATCTTCAGAGAAGAAAAACATCCATGAAACAGGGGCTGTGTTGGCTTTGTAACTCCTCCAAAAACGGAAAACAACAACAGAAATGCAATTATCTTCAATAGCAAGGCTTCTAACACTCCCTAACTTAGCACTACAGCTGTTGGGCTTTTTACAATGTAAGATATTCTGGCCATGGAGAGGGCACAGAGAGCAGTGGGCGTTGTTCCACAGCACAGCATACAGAGAAGGCCATTCCCCTGCAGAGCAAACATTAAATAAAGCACAGGTGTGATTTGCTGCTTGCTGCCTTCACCAAAATATTTGAAATGGTATCAAAGAAGTCTGTTTTAATAGGTGTGTTTCTAAAGGCTGGGTAAATACAGCGATGCTATAATCAGTTCATGTTAAACATATACTATAATTAAATGTTTGGCCCAGCTTAAATCTAACCCAAATATTTGAATGATTTTTTTTTTGCTGGATGTCACTCTTTAAAAGGAAAGGGGATTGTGGGAGTTTGGAGTTGTCCAAACAGAAACAAATGGTGACTTACTTTGGTGCTGGCTTCAACGAGAAAGCCAAAGGCACCGCGTCCCGCAGGAGATGGGCCCCTCTGCTCTCAGGTCCTGATGCACAGCGCTGCGCAAGGACAGAGATCTGAAGAGAGAGAAAAGAAAAATCAGCTTCAGAGTGATGCAAAGGCACAGGCTGGTGTGAGCAGAGCTGCCGAGTGCGCAGACCCGCYGAGCTCTTGTCCTCTTGCACTGCCTGTGCAAACAGATATTCCCTGTCAAGGCTACCAGGAGATCCTAGCAATAAAATACACAGAGTTTAATTTTGTTCTCATTTTAGAGATGTCCTTTTTTTGCCTAACTATTATGAACGGGCACAATTATCGACCCAGCAGTCTTGCTTCCCTAGTCTTTCGATACTAATAACCTAAATTCCCTGGCCACTTTCTGAGCTACATAATTGCCTTGTTTCTAGATTACTCCAATTTAAGTGTTTTGAATAATAACTGTACTTTATTCTTTGCAGGCATCTATTAGCTAGAGACTACACTGAAACAGTTTACTCGGATGACGGTCAACAAATAACAACCAGTCCCCAGATCAAGGTAATAAGCAAAGTCTCCTCTCCTTTGGAGAGGGACCCAAACACTTGGGTTTTGCAGGAGGTCTGGATGTGGCCGTGAAACAGCAGCGTGACCTGGGACAGAAAAGAAAAATTCTTAAGTGCAGATGCTAAGCATTAAGGGACAAGGCAGAATGGTTCTTGATGCTGGGGGAGCTGCACCAATTCACACGGGCTAGGAATCAGATGCATGTCTTATTTGCAAGGAATAAAAGGTCTCATCTCACAGCCGATAACACGTGCCCCGAGCTGGACCTGTCCCCAGCCCTGCAGTCCCACCTGCAGCCCATGGATTCAGATCAACTGGTGCTGCCCCATGGGCTCCCTCCCTCCCACGCTCCCGGCACCGGCGCAGGTTGCCCAGGTGGCTGCTCTGAACCATGACAACTCAGTGACCCACGTGCACACAGAAAGGAAATCAGCAGCTAAGCTATTTTATWATTAGCTGCGTGCCCGTGGCTCCTATCCTGCTGCTCTCCAACAAAGGCCTCGCTTGCAGCGCTCTGGCCCCGGTCGCGCCACGTGCTTCGCTACCTGCAATTTGGAATACAAAACCCAGCAAGCTTTGCCACAGAGTGATTAGCAGGAACAGGGGGATCCTGGTGGAATGGGCACGTGTGAAGAACTCCGCGTTGCTTTTTGTACAACAAACTCTGATTGCCCCAATTTTGCTCCAATTGCCCTCCCTGGAAGGATCCTGGGAAAAGTAAATAGCAGCTATACCTGCTTAAAGACAATCTCAGGCAGACCTGGCTAGGCAGCTTGCTGAATGAGGAATTCCTATTCTGCAAATACTTCATTAAGATCTCCTTAGTTGTTTCTCCTGCACCCTTAAGAGATGGAGAATAGCTTACTACTTTTTATCTCCAGTTATTTTCACTTTGTGATGGCCTCTTTACTGGGAGAAAGCTGGCACAGTCATGGAAGATAAAATAAATGGTAAAAGGAAACCAAAAATCCCCGTGGAAAGAAAAGGCACATTGGGTGCAGCTTTGAATGCCATTTTACAGGCCTCTATTAAGAAATCTAAGGAAAACGCTAAGGGTAAAATTTTCCATAATACCTTAGTGACTTGGAGCTCTTTTTGAGTGCAGAAATGCCCATTAGAACCTAGATTCCTAAATCACAAATGCGTCATGGAAGTTTATCCTCTAAGTCTGCCTTTTAATATAATGTATATATTTTAATCTCATCAAAGTRAATGCATTTAATTGTTGGGTTACGGTTAAAGGGTGTTTCCTTGAAATTTTGCCACAATAAAATAATTCAGCGTGGATCTTAGTTCAGCAGAGCACATCCATACACGCTTAATTTTGCACATTCTTAACCGTCTGCAAATTTGCACATTTTGCAGACGGTTAAGTCTGAGATCACCATACATGTGCTTAAAATACAGAATAAGAGGATGATGCTGTTAAAGTGGAGAAAGGGAAGGCAAACCGATCTGGGATGCATAAAAGCCAAGTTTTTAAAGGCCTTGGGCCGGGTCATTGCAGTTGCTAATACCTAACCCAGTCTGACAACGCGTTTTTTCTTTCTCAATAGGATCACTGTTACTACCAAGGTTATATTCAAAACGATGCTGACTCAATAGCAAGTATCAACGCGTGCAAAGGTTTAAGGTAAGACGGAGGTTTGGTTCTCTAAGGACAACGGTAGCAGACTGCACCTATTCTGAGGTTAAATTTTCCAATTTACATCTTAAGCTACATCTAATGCTGTGAAACAATATGGCATCAAAGGCTGAGCTGCCTCGGGGGACAGTAAGTATGTGTAAATGGGTATTATCTTTTATTCATGATTACAAGGAAACTATTTTAGGAAGGGAAGGGAAAGGAAGGAGAAGTTTCCTTTCTATTTCAGTCCCAGCGCGTATAAATCAAAAGCCAAAGGACATCTATACAAGTAAATGTATAGGAATGATACATTTATCACAGCAAAGCAGGTGACATAAGCCTAGTGCTTGGAGTTGCTCTCAGKGGATGTTTAGGGATGATGCTCCTAGGAAGCTGCACTGACACTTCAAGCAGAAGGTTCCCTTATTTTCAGTGCTTTCACTGCACTTTCAGTATATTTCAGTTTCAGCAGCTACAGCAGTTATCAAAACTTGCATTTGCTTTTAGTATTTCAGCTTTTCAMCTCAATTAAGGATGAAATCATATCTTTGATTCCCCACTGAATTGAAATTCACTTTTCAATCATCTCTGCCAAACACAAAAATCCTAAATTTAAATTTATTTCATGCCTAACCCTATTTTTTTTATTCTGGCCTGGCAGTCTCCTGCTCAGAGACTGCACCTGATCAAGCAGAGCTTCCAATTGCCTCAGCAGCCTTGATTTCTAYGCTTAAGTTATTGGAGGCTCTGCCTGAACGCAGCAAAACCAACTGGCACTGCAACAGTGCCTCAATGACACTTGCACGTGTGCTAAATACTGCTAGATAAAACGCTGCTATCCTGACTCTGGCCTAACCTCTGGGGTTCAAGAGATCCCAGTCTAACTTAAAGAAATTTCCACAGTGGATATTTTGAGACCCAYGGTCAGAAATACCTTATTGAGCCCTTGGGAACCTCGGATAGAGAAGAACACGCAGTCTATAAATACGAGAAACTTGAAGACAAGTCCATAAAAACCTGCGGAGTCATCAACAGTACCTGGGAACCGGAGGCAAACGACGCCAGCGAGATCTTCAAATCAAGCAGCGACCCAGAGGTGAGTGCAGTTTAGACACAGAGCTGAAGCCACAGGAGAGCTGTGCGCCTGGCACAAGTCCCACTTTGTCCGGGGGCACCTGCAAAAGAGAAGCAGGGTGAACAGTGGAGCAAACTTAGGTCTGAAATAACCAGATTAAAATGTGCCTGACCTTAACAGAGCCTCCGCCTGAGTAAAGCTCTCCTGCACATACTACCAGGTGCCCATGCGCTTTTGAAAATATTTAAATTCTTTTTAGTAAATAACCTGCCACAGATCATTTTTAAAACAAGACAGTCTCATTCTAAATAGCTTAGTTAAAGAAATAGCCTGGTGATTAATACATGGTTTTATAATTGAAAGGCTTGAGCCTGAAACAGGTCCTGAAAGATATTTAAAATACATCTTTTCTTTTAGATGAAAGCATATCTGAAAGCCAAAAAATATCTGGAAGTTTACATAGTTGCAGACAACACTATGGTGAGTATTTAAACAGGTATTTCTCTTTCGATCCTTTACAGGTGACCYTTCCAAATCCTCATGTCCCTGGGCTCCTATTACAGCTATAGTGCGAAGTTCACTTTCTCACAGACTTTGATTAGAGCTATGATCTCTCAAAATTAAGTGATTTTGAAAATCCCACCTGGAGATGACACAAATCCAGAACAGACAGCAAGTCGCCCATCGCATCTAACAATGTTATGTTTCCTTTTCTGGGGAAGAAAAAAGTCTTTGGGGATTAAAACACAGCCCATGTACTAGTTGTTTCATAACTGAGGGGAAATTTCCTATTTACTTTTTCAGTTTAAGAAGTATAACGAAGATGTTAAAGCTGTAAGACAAAGGATATTTGGAATAGTCAACTACATCAACACGGTAAGAGCAAACATTGCTAGGTGGAATGCAAACAGAAGCGTTCCTTCTTCCCTTGCAAGCTTCGTGCATTAATAAATGTAGGAAAGAAGGTCAGCTTAATTGCCATCTAAGAAACAAATCTACCTGTTGGGAAAATGTGGAATTTCTTCAAAAACACTTCAAAGTTTTAAAGCCATTTTTATAGCTGGCTTCAACTCGGTGAGAAGAAGCTACCATGTTTTGGCTGGTCTGATTTCTTTCTTTTGCAAATGGGAAGCGAGAAAAAGCTTAACCGGGGCTTGGAGCAGAGCACATTGCGAGGGACGAACATGGAATGATGACCAGGGTAAGCGTGTGTTTCTGAAGACTTTACAATACTCTGCCTTACAACAGCAAGGCTGTTTCGATCCTGCAGGTTTATAAGGCCATAAATATCCACGTGGCATTAATTGGCCTAGAAATCTGGACGGATAACGATAAATGCCGCCTGAGCCACGCGGCGGGTTCCACTCTGGACAGCTTCTCAAAGTGGCGTCGCTCCGATTTACTGCAAAGGAAGAGAAATGACAACGCTCAGCTGGTCACGTGCGTATGCTCCCGCTTCCCACTTGCATTTCCAAGCATGCTACAGCTATGAGGACTCAAAAGCCCATCGAGATGCTGGCTGTAATTAACTGGATTTTGAGTTTCCCAGTAGCAAGCTGTACAAATGACAGGATGAAAGGATGCAGTGCAGTTTTGGTGTCTTGCTTTGCTTCATGCAGCAGGGATTCCCCACTAGGACACAATACAAGGACTCAGTGCCAGCATCTCAGCCCCTGCAATGTAGACCCTGGTTCAAACGCAGTCTCCCTGTCCCCACCATGGTCACAAAAYAGTTGAGTGCCCTAAAGACTGCAGTGCTTTAGTCTTAGCATTARAAGAGCCATGGCATGAACTTTAATGTCTGTGAAATGCAGATTGCCAAACTAAACCAGCGCTCAGTTCACTATGCTGGCTCAAGTGCAATGGCCCTGATTCATCCAGGCACTTTACTATGTTTAAAACACTTCATCAAGGAGTTTACACTGAAACAGGTGCTTCAGTCTTATTACCTGCAATGGAATTCAAGTACGCATTTAAAATGAAATGTGCATTTAATTGTTTTGTGATCTGCAGAGATCTTAAGTATATCCTTAAATACAACATTAAGCCAGGGACTGCAAACCAGAGAGGAAAACAATCCTCTACTTAAAGCCTTCAGCTTTGCTAAAGCTCACAGGGACTTCCGATGTGCTTCCCAATAGCAACTGCTGCATTTCATTCTGCCTTTTTTCTTCCTTGCAGAGGGTTTGACTTTGAGGGCACTACAGTTGGACTAGCCTTTCTAAAATCCATATGCAGTGATGTATATTCTGCAGGTATTATTCAGGTCTGATTTGTTCTTATTCTATTTTTTAACAGCTTTTCCTTGTCTTTTACTCAACCAACAAAGAATGTTTAGGAAAGCTATGAAGAGTGGGATATTTACAGTTCTCTATCTGGCTCACATCATCACCTATTTAGGCTGTGGAAGTTCAATGCTAGAGATTTTATTTTAAATGAAATGTAGAAGTATGAAGGCTGATATTTGCTCTGTTTAAATATCAACAGCAAATTGACATGTTTTTAAATTGACCATATTTGAAGCAGCGGGGTCCTGTGTAGTCACGGGAAAGAAATAGGGAATCCTGTGCCTCCCACTTAGGCTTCCTGTTTCCGAGGAGGCTTCTCCGTGCCCACAGGTGGAAGGCAGGAATGCTGTCCTCCCCAGTGGGTTTAAGCGACCGATGGCCTCCACCACAACACGAACCACCAATTTAGCTGTGGATTGCCAACAACTAAGCTATTCTGCTCACAAGCTTAGGCTGAACAGGGATGCCAAAGCGTGCGGCAGAGGCCGTGGACGCTCAGGATGCTCCATACTGACTATTGCTCATAGAGCCGAGCTCACTCTCTAAGGAACAAGCCCCTTCCTTTCCCTGCCGCTACCAGGCGGCACAAAAACCAAGCTCAGGGTGAAGATGGAGCGCAGCTTCTGCCATTCCTTCCTGGTGCACACACAGCGTCACAGGCAAAGGTTACCTGGGTGTGACAAGAGATAACAATATCACATCCACCAGGTCACCCCAAGCACCCAGCCAGCCAAAGAGAGGATTGGGAGTTTTAGTTATTCACTTGCCCTTAATGCTCAGTTGTTTCTCCCTGCCAATTTACTTATGCTGGTCGGGGGATGATCCCATCCTTAAACTATTAAACAATATCCAGATTAAACTGTGAAATAGATGCACACGAGAGCTTGGCCTGACCAACAGATCGATGCCTTGTGTAGCAGCACAGATAATTTTAATTGAAGTAAAATTGCCCCATTTCTTAACCATGTGGTTTCACTGATGCTCTAAAACACTCGTGGAAATAACAGGCTGTTCTCCTGCCCACAGGACCACAACAGAAATGAAATAGCGGTTGGAGCCACCATGGCCCACGAGATGGGCCACAACCTGGGCATGAACCACGACACCAAGGCCTGCACGTGCAGTGCCAAAGTCTGCATCATGACCGACACTGTCAGGTAGGTGTTTGCAGAGAAGGGCGAGAGCTCCAAGGCCAAGGGCCATTAAGGAAGGGCTATTCTAATATAAATCCTCCTGCTTTTTCCATATAGCTCTTTAATCCCCGAGAAGTTCAGCTCATGCAGCCTCCAAGATTTTGAGAAATACATATTGAACGACATGCCRAAGTGCTTAACTAACATCCCAGACACAAGCAACATCGTAGCCCCTCCGATCTGCGGAAACAGCTTYGTGGAAAAAGGGGAAGAATGCGACTGTGGGACTCCTGAGGTATCTATCCACGGGAAACTTGGAATAAAACACGTGCTAGAGGCAAAACTCAGGCTGCGCAAGAGCTGGCTTTTCCTAGTGCCCAGGGTAGTCATTTTGCACGTAAATGTTCTTGTGGTGCCCAAATAGCTGCTCTGCAGCATGGTCATCCTGGTAGCCCCTACGCAGAAGTGCAGCAGAAGGGAGAAAATYCCCTGCTCCCCTCACATGGGCCCTCCACACCTCGTGCTCTTCGTGAGCTGCCGAGAACCACCAGCACGGTTCGAGGTGAAGGTACCTGGGGACGCCAGGGGCAGCTCCAGCCCGGCCCTGCCTCCCCGTGTGGGCCGACTCATTGAGAGGGGCCCCCAAGGCGGGCGGCAGGGCTGTGACGGCTCCGCGCTCTGCCGCAGGAATGCACCAACGCCTGCTGCGACGCCGAGACCTGCACGCTCAGCACGGGGGCCCAGTGCGCGCACGGCGAGTGCTGCGAGAACTGCCAGGTGAGAGCCGGCAACGCGGGATGCCGCCTCCGGGAGCAGCACCTGGAGATGGAGCTCGGGTCCTCACCGCTCCGACACGGGCGCTGCACGGCCCGGGCTGTCCCTGTCTGCTCGCTTRGCCAGCAGAAATGAGTTTTCCCCCTATTTTCTCCTGGAGAGAGAAAACAAACAAACAAACAGACCCTAAGATCAGGCAAAGCTGTGAACAACCCTGTAAAGAGACACAACCGACTCGACGTTAGATCAGGGCAYGGCCATTAATGCAATTTGCGGAGTCTGGCCCCCCATTTCATCTCYGTCAGTGTGATTTGAAGGCAGGAGGAGCTCACACGCTTCCCTTCCATCCCTTTTGGCAGTACAAAAAGCCCGGAGCTGTTTGCCGGGCGGTTAGGCACGACTGCGACCTGGCCGAGATGTGCACGGGCGCCTCCGAGAAGTGCCCCGCGGACCGCTTCCGTGTGAACGGGCACCCCTGCGACGCCGGCAAAGGCTACTGCTACATGGGAAACTGTCCCACCCGGGAAGGCCAGTGCAAAGCTGCTTTCGGGCCGCGTGAGTACAAGCTGGCTTCGGAAAAACTAGAGCCTAGGTCAAAGGGAGAGATAAGGGTAGACTGGGCCTAGTGTTAATCGTCAAGGATCGCTCTGATACCAGGAACAGCAGGGGTGCATAACTAAGGTCTACTTTCTAGCATATGCTTAATGACTATTTTTGTGTTTGCACTATACGTGATTAGAACGGCATGAGCCGAGGGCCACAGCACACAATGTGTTTCTAGAGGAAAAGGAAGTGGCAAGTTAATTCCTCTTTTGCACAATGGTGACAGCTTTAGAATGGTGTTAGGTGAAAGTGGAGTTCTTCCTGTGATAGATAAAGGAGATATTCACACTTCAAATTAACTTCCAAACTTGCTACTAGTGCGACTATGACTGCTTATTCCATATATCCCTGTTAAAATATGCATTTGTTTGCAAAAGCACAGATTCTGGAGAAAATGAGGACACCCACACGACAGGTGTTGCTTTATGCAACAGAAACACTTCAAAATCTAACCTGCCCCCTGCTTCTCTCCTTACCTTTTGCTATCACTGCATCTCTCTTTCCTCTCCACCAGAGGCTACCGAAGGTGCAGCTTCCTGTTACCGGATGAACGAGAAAGGGGTATATTATGGATACTGCAGAAAAGAAAAAGGTAGTCACTCCCCATGTAAGAAAAAGTAAGTGCCATGTTACAGGAGGGCATCCTTTGTCTTTCACCTTGAGTTTGACTCGCGGTAAAGACAATTTTGAAGTCAAATCTAATTGCCCAAGAGTATTACTCAGAGAAGGGAGCAAAGCAAACTACCCTGAGGAAACTAATAGTGTGTGCATTTGTCCGTGCAAGGTTGCTTGTGAAGGTGACTCAATGTGTGTCTGTGTGTGTGTGTGTACAGTTCAAAATGTTTTCCAGTGCCAAGTCATTGCTACAGCGACTCTTTTTCTCCTTGCAGAGATATCATGTGTGGGAAGTTGTTCTGTGCTGGGGGGAGSAAAATGCCTCTGTACGGGAGCCTGGTGACTTTTGAGTCATGCAGAGCCAGCTTTCCACACCTYGGAGAACCAGATCCAGGGATGATCCTCAATGGAACCAAGTGTGGTGATGGAAAGGTGAGTGGAGGAGAGCTTTTTTCCTATGCCTTTCGGACAACATCCAGAGGTTGAATGAGAAATGACACCAAATTTTTAACGTGGGTTTGAGCGACTTGCATACCTGTTTCTATGGCTCCTTGCCCTCTTCCTGGCTTCACGCCGTAGTGAGAAAGCTCTGCGTGTTCTGAAAGCCGCATGTCTGGCTGACATGCACCCTGTACGTTCCAGGTGTGCAGCAACGGCGAGTGTGTCTACATCGAGGATGCCTTCAGATCCACCAACTGCTCCGCAAAGTGCACCGGACACGCTGTAAGATATGAGTTTCTCACGTTACCCATCTTGAAAGAAGTCAGCTGACGCAAGTCAGCTGCAGACCCTACTGATAACAGTATTTTTTAAGAACTCTTTAGGATAGGAATTTGCAAAAAAAAAAAAAAAAAAGCAGAGGCTTCTCATATTTTTATGAACATAGACCTTACTGACAAGTTATCAATATTTTTACTAGGGGAATTGCAGGACATTCTCTGGCTCTGCCACTGAGCCACAGATCTCCACCAATCTCTCCCAGGAGTCCTTCTCTTCTTGAACATAATCATGCTCATCTTATTTGAGCATTAAGGAACCCTACAGAGTGTGCATGTTGCTGGGGGCCTTACACTGTAGCTTCCACTGCAAAAATGCCTGCAAAAGGCACAAGATAAAGGACAGGCCTGTTTCTCTGCTAATGCATAAAACGAGCACTGCTTTTACAACTCTAAATTTTAGTGCAAGGGAATGGAGAGGGGCTCTCCAGACTTAATATCATTGAGCTTATGAGGAGGCCGCCGCAGGGGCTGCGAGTTCCCCTTCCCTGCTGCTCCCCCGCCGAATGCTGCCCTGCTTTGCTTCCCCAGGTGTGTGACCACGAGCTGCAGTGCCAGTGCGAGGAAGGCTGGGCGCCGCCCAACTGCGACAGCTCGACRGCCGTCACCAGTGAGTACAGCACGGGGCTCCCCAGCGCCGGTGAAACCGCCGGCACCGGCCTCTGCCAGGGAGAAAGGCCTGGGTTTAGTTAGTCTAAACACAGCTCAGGCAGTAACAACAGTCCTCAAATATGACAGATGTAGCCAGGGAAAATCCCTCTCTGTTGGTGGTAAGTCAAGARGCCATAAGTTTGCCCACCTGTGGGGATGAACGCAAGCCCAGCCGCCGCGGTGTCAATGGCCCTGCTGGGGTAGGGAAGGGGACGCTGCGGAGCGGTGCTTGGGCGTTCAGGAATCAGCAGCCYGTGTTCTCTCTCGCTGCCAGCTTTCGCCATCGTGGCCGGGGTGCTGGTCGTCCTCGCCGTCACGGCCGCCGCCGCAACGCTGCTTCTCCGCTTCCGAGTGCTCAAGAGGTAAAACGCCCTCTCTGACGAGAAAATAACATCTGAAATTGGTGACTTCTAAGGGGGCTCCAGGCTGGGGCTTTCAGAGGGGGTAAAGGGAGGCTCTGAATGAACACTGGGGYGCCGCGGGCCCATTATCTCCACCAAGGGGTTTTAGAAATCCTCTCCTCAGGGGAGGGTTCACAACTTTGAAGCAACTCCGAAAATCAACCTTACAGTAAATGAAAAATACAGGAAGAGGGGACGCAAAGACACGGGGGCAAGCAAAGACATGGCTACGCAGCAGGCCTCGAGGAGCAGGGCTGGCACTCACACGTGCAGGGGTTGTTTCACGGGGGTGGGAYGTGCAGCTCTAAGTTGTGCGTTAACATTTCCGCAGCTGCCAGGSCCGGAGGGGTCCCGGAGCTACGAACCAAGTGTTTGGGAACCAGGAGCAGCTCACGGCAGCGGCAGCTCCCGCACGGACGGTAAGCGTGGGACAGTGCCAGGGCCAGAACCAGAACCTGGCAGATGAGGGCACTAACCAGAAATGTCCGTGTCTGCAGGTGCACGACAAGAAACTCCTCCTTCCCGTCCCCGTGCCGCAGGAGGCCAGGCCGCCGCRCCACAGCGTGAGTATTCCCGGAGGATCCTAGTGCAGTGGGATCCCTCCTTCGGCCAAAGCCGGCCTCCCTTCACCCTGCAGGGAACGCATCCTCTTGCCYGTTTTAGCCCACCTTCCACACAGAGCACGAGCCCGCGCGCGTTCCCAGGGACATGCACATTCACAGCGTCTATTCACAGGGAGTATTTTCCCATTCTGCCTTTTCACAGCCTGCCATAAGGCCRAAAGGGCCCCCACCTCCCGTCCCATCCAGCAAACCAGCCTCTGCTCCCGCTGAAGAAAGCTCCGTAAGTACAGCCCGCCCCCGGGTTTCGCAGAGACGCATCAGGAAAAGCCACTCATTAACATTAGCAGTTTCTGCAAATTAACATTTGCAGTTTCTTTGCAGTTTCTGCAAAGAAATCGCAGACTTTCAAACCCTGCACTGTCTAGAGCAGGGGCCAGAGCCAGCCTTTGGGCCGTGCAACCCACAGCCACACCAAGTATTTTTAACCTGGGCTGGTTACTCAATACAGATCAATTAACACACTGATCATGGCTCAGGGCTCTTCTGAGACAGGAGCTCTACATCCCTTGTCCATTTGTGCTATTGCACCCTTCTCTGTGTGGACAGATTACCCCAATGCAGCCCTAGCTCTTCCCCTAGTAAAATGCTGTAGTAAATATATGAGTTTATAGTAGCAGCAGCTGAGCTCTGGGGAGGCTCTACAGCTGCTTAGGCAGGAAAGCRTCAAGCCATTGAAATCCTATTTTCATTATAGGCACCAGAAAGAAAATGCGCTCCCTTGCCAGTTCCCAAAGGGAAACCTCCACCTCCACCAAAGGTAACTGGAGTTAAAACGTGAGCAGCAATTCTGCAGGGATGGCATTTGCTCCAAGTGCACCAGGCACAGCAATTTGTCCAATTCTTTCTTTTTCATTCAGGCTTTAAAACCTCCTGCTAAYCCCCGAGTGTGAAGCATCTGAAACAGGGCTCATCAAGATTCCAAAATTTTCAGGGACACTTCATTTGTCCTGCGATTCCTCCATTTTTGGCAAAGGCAACTGAAATAGTCTTCCTGTTTTCTATTAGAAAAAAGAACAAGTGACTGACAGCTGCTTTGAGCAAAAAAGTTTGTTTTTCAGACAGTGAGGAACTCTTTGGTCGAGACATGAAGCTGCTGCCCGAAAGGAAACCAAGCAAAACAGCTACTTGCACTGAGGTGTAACCTGGGAGTGAGTTATGAAAGCTGCTGACGTGCCCTGGCCCCTCGGCCACAGTGGGGCACCCGCGCATCCCCCCTGCACCCATTGATCCCGCATGGATTGGCAAGGCCGGGAGGAGCAGCCCTGCTCACAACCTGCAAACCTGGTGTTACGATCCTGGGTCTTTGCCAGCCCCATCACARCTGCACCTAGGCTTGTGCTTCACTCGCGAGCTGCAAGCTCTGGAGAAAGGAAAATTCCTTCCCTTGRGAGAAAAGGTTGGAGGCTGTAACCAGACCACAGAGTGGGAACACTTGGATTCTGGRAAGATCCTTTCGGACCCCATTCTCTCATTAATCCTCATGTTGCTGGCTAAAGAAGGCTGCAGCTTCGAGGAGGCGGCCCTGGAGATGAGCTCGCAAGCGGAGCAGCAGGAATTGAGCTGCTTGGGGGTCACAAGCTCCAGCTGTGGAAGGGATCTCAGCTGCCATCACTTCCCTTGGAGAGCAAAACTGAAAAAACAGAAAGGACAGTCAACAAAGCCCTTAATCATTTATTTTATTTGCCCCTCAGCTCCAGAAATAGCTTCCCCGTCCAGGATACACACGCCTTGGTGTTTTCGTTTAATTGCCCCTGCAGCAGGAGTGTTATTGCAGGGCCGCTAACGAGGCCGCGCTGGGCACGGGGCGCTGTTATTGTGGGACGGGGCGCTGCGGACACGCTGCGCCTGCTGGCACCGGCCCTCGCGGTGCTGCTGGCGGTGACATCAATAACACTGCGAGGGCTCTGGCACCGAGGCTCTTGTTACCGTTGGCACCGACGCTATTCATATGGCTGGCATCACTATTTTTAAGTCAAAGTACACGGAAGTATTTTTCAAGGAATAAAAACTTTACCAGGAAAAGGAGAGAAGTAAAATTGCCCTGGACCCAAAGTACTCAAGATTTTATAGAGGTTCCAGTTTGAGCTGGATTTGGGGTTGGATCTGGATCAACATCAGAACAAGCTTCCAGTTTTCCAGATGGATGACGCGGTGGCTCGGGAAGGCAGGTTTCCAGCCCTGGGGCAAAGTGGCCTTGCTGGGGAAGATCACAAGGCCCTGGAGACATCCCAACAAAACCCAAGGCCTCCGTTTGCATCGGGAAGAGGAACTTTAATCTGGACTTGGTTCCAACCAGGGCCAGACAGGCCTTTCAGGGGAGCCTGGTGCTCGGGGGCACAAACCAGCTTGCCCACGTGGGACCCTGCCCCACCAGCACCAGCATGGCCGCGGCACAACTGGGTTTTGTGCTGGACAGTTGCATGCTGCAGGACTCGTTAACACAGAAAAACATGCAAAAAAAGCCAACTTCTTCTTGCTTTGAAGTTGCCAATCGAGTACTGTCATATACCACATAGGTGTGATTAAATTACAACCATCAGTTTGAGGAGTGAGGTAGGTTTTTTTAGGGTAGATTTTACCAAAAGAGCATTGCTTTCTTTGAGTACCTACTTCTTTGGTTTTTATTCAGAAATGGATTTTAATCTATCCATATGTGACTATGGTATAAAGATTACAACTTATTTTTATGAACTGTGATTAATGTACTTACCAAGATTTCTGTATTAAAAGTGTTCTGACTCTGGCTGTTTAAGATGATCATTTGTCCACAAAACGCACAAAAATGGGACAGGCTGCACTCATTTACAACCTCACCCAATTTCCTAGTTTCTGTCAAGAACATTAGTCAACAGCAGCACACAACCCTGCCAATGTTATCTGCACCCTAAATAGAGGAACATCAATTCTGTTCGGAGAAGGGACACCACATTGCTCCTCATCTACAACCACCTTCTCCCACCTTTCCCAGGCTGGGAGCATTTCCAAGTTCTCCAAGCACACGCAGCGCTGAGGCTGGCTGACACCCGCTGCCCAGTGCCTTGRTTTTTCTTAGGTGGCTTCCAAGGCCCTCAGCACCCCAAGCACGGAGCAGGAGCGGCCGTTTCCAGCAGCTCCCACGACCCATCTGCATCCGTACGCTTCCAGTAAGCCAAGCGTGCAGCCAGCGAGGCCCTACAAGCACCACCGAGACCRCGTCTCTCGCAAGAAGTGGCCAGCACGAAGCAGATGCCAAGGGAAAGCGCAGAGCGGCACGTGCCCATAGGAGCTGGGGATTTACAGGTGGTTTCCCAGGGAGGGATGGCGTTTGGGAGGGATGGCATTTGAGCACGGTGTCCGACGGACCCTGTTGTTGGGTTATGCAAACGTGACATCTACCGTCAGCGCGCCCTTACTGCAAGAGCAGCCCGGGCAAGCTGTCGACACGTCTGGGACTCCAAGCACGAGGAGCCTGCGGCTCCCGGGCTCGTGCTGCACCCACCGGAGCTTCTCCCTGTGCGGAAAGGTCCCTGCAGCCGGTGTGCTACAGCCCTGGCGCGCGCCGCCAGCACCTTCTCCCCAGCCSGCATGCAAAGCTGCCTCCCGGCGGCCCTCTTCTTCCTCACGTCTAGGGAAGACGAGGTGTCTCTTCTGGGGCGCTGATAGAGAAGGCTGAGAGGGGATCTGATCAACATGGATAAGTTCATGAAGGAGAATGTAGGGGGAAGGGGCCAAGCTCTTCTCAGTGGTGGCCAGGGACAGGACAAGGGGTAATGGGTGCAAGCTGTAACACAGGCAGTTCCATCTCCAGGTGAGGAGGAACTTCTTCACTGGGAGGGTGACAGAGCCCTGKCACAGGCTGCCCAGGCAGGTTGTGGAGTCTCCTTCTCTGGAGGTCTCCAAACCCACCTGGATGCCGCCCTGTGCCACATGCTCTGGGTGTCCCTGCTGGAGCAGGAAGGTTGGACTAGATCTCTAGAGGTCCCTTCCAACCTTGAACATTCTGGKATCATGTCCCCCTCACCCGCTCCATCACTCAAGAGACCACAGCCCTCCTGCTCTTCACACCCCCAGTGCCCATCAGAGGACAACAGAGCCCAGGACTCTCTCCTGCCGCTCTCCAGCATCTCCCACCGCCTCCTCCAGGCTGCTCCCAACTCATTTCATCCTCTGACCTTGGGCTATGCATCCTGTGACACCAGCAAGGGCATGGAGGGCCTGGCAGGGGGAGGCTGGAGCAGATCCGCGTTTGCAGACACAGAGGCACCAGACAACTAATGAATCGGTTAAACCCAACCCTTCGAACACGACGCTCCCGACGGCCACAGGAAGCCCTAATCGTGTCAGGTTTTATTGACCAGAAATCAAAACAATCCTACCCTGCACTGAGSCGCTATATCAAAGGAAGGAAATGTCACTTATAGCTGCAGATTAAGGGGTTTTCTCCCTCCCCGCCTTTTTCTAGTTTCTCATCTCAGTGGCTCTTTCACAGCCACCCAGCACTGCACAAATCACTATATTCTTAAACAAGTGAACAAAAGACTGCTGGCGGAAGCCAGCGCTGTGCAAACTTGTGCCAATTCATGAAAACATTTAAGATTTCCTAGCTATCAACCTCAGGAACTCAGATCCCACTGCATCTACCAACCAAATGGTTTGCCATGGACCAAAAGCAGCTCTTCCTGCAGTGCCATGCGCCACAGGTCGGACTTCTGACATAAAGTCCCTAATTCACCTGCATAGAGGGTCCCCAGCCCCAAGCAGGGGCACAAATGAAGGGCAGATCTCCCCCTTCAGCCCCCAAAACTGCTCGGAACACAATGGGCTCTTCCAGCGAGTCTCGGTACAGGCGAGGATAGGGCTTGCGTGGATTATTCTGTGCTGTAGATACTGAAAAAAAGTTTCTTTTGCATCATTTAATGCATGGAGAGAAAAATTACCTCTTCTGCCACACACTAAACCTCTTTTTGTGTCCTTATGTGCACTAAAATAATGTATTTTCCATGTCACACTCCGCAGCTGTCACAGAGAGGCATGTCCCTGAATCCATTACTGGGTACTTCCCACAAAATGCTGCAATGAATTGCTAAGCATGTTTTATAGATTAGCTGATCCAAAAATCCCTGCTACGCAGGCCTGTTCCGTGATCAGGCTTCGAAACAGTAGAAAACCCATGAGATSATTTAAACAGAGGAGAAAAGCAAAAGGAAAGAGGAGTCTCCTCATCAGGGTGCTGAATCAGATTCACTCCCTTTAGAAATGTTGCCCAAACATCTGTATGGTTTTTCTATGGGCAACTACATTGCAAGGCAGGCCTCTGCGCAGGACCACGGGTGCCTGGGGAGAAGGGCAAGGAAATTCCCGCTGCCTACGCGGAGCTTGGAGCCAGGCTGGAGCTCAGGGACCGACCCTCACATCGCTGCTCAGACTTCTTGGCACCGAGCGGCTGCAGCCAAGGCCTCGCTTTCCAGAAGCGCTGCCCATCTTCTGTGCACCCATGTCAAGCTCACCCGCCTGGAAGTGGAATCCCAGGCTCAAATTCCCTCCGTTTCAGCTCTGCTTGTGTGAAATGAGGGCAGCAGCTTCTCTACCCTCCCTTGCAATTCAGGAGCCCTCGCTCACCTCCCCTGGCTGCACACAGGCCGAGCACCCAGAACAAGCACCTAATGCATCCCACCATGTGCCAGGGCCCTTCTGCATCTGCCTGCCTTCCCCAGGCGGCTGTTACAGCAGCCCAGCCAGCCAGGGCTGCTCTCAGTCGCTTCTGGACCATGAGATGAACAGGGCTTGCAGTGGCGACGCAGCCGCCTCTGCGCCGCGCTGCCCGTGCCTCGGGTAAAGCCCTGAGCAGGACAGCAGCTCGATCCGCACAGCTCCAGGCAGGCTCTGCAACAGCCCAGCATCCAAAAGGAGCAAGGGAGAAGCAGCCACCGTGCGCCCGGATCAGTCGACAATCACCAGTCCTGCAGACAGCTGCAATTTGCTGTGAATT